TGAAAGTCAATGGTAACCAAAACTGTTTGGTTACCAACATTCTTCAAAGTCATACAGGTTTGGAATGACATGAGGGTGAGTAAATGACCATTTTTATTTTTGGAGAAACTACATTTAAGCCAATCAATGAATCAAAGGTGAATCTTTTTTTTTTTTACTAGTGGCACCAAACAGTTTGTTTGTTTTAACAAGCAGACATGGCAATATCGGTTCAGCCAATGGTGTGATAGTCATAATACCTTAACCACACAATATCTTTAGATAAAAGTTTGCAAATGATTTTAGGTAGTTTCAAAACTAATAGAGAAACTGGGCATGCAGGCCTACTAAACTTATCTGCATGTGCTTATGTGTGTGCTCTACAGGAGGAGAAGACACAGCGGCTGGTCAGATGTTATTCTGAGGCCATGCACCAGCAGATGGACGCAGGCACGCAGACAGACCCTGTAGTGGTCCTGTCGCTGGCCCAAGCTGCTGTGTTGGGACTTATCTCACAGAACGAGGTCTTTGGCGCCACCATCGCCCCCAACGGCTTCTATACCGGAGACCCCAAAGAGTCCCCCGCTCCGCCAGGTGAGAGAATGGACTACGAGTACGCCGACCAGCTTATAGGTGCCAACGGCGACTATCTTGGAGAGAATTTGGGTGAGGATGGGCACATGCACTCCAGCTGTGTTGAGAGAAGGTGGCAGGGGCAGCCTGAGAACAGCAAACCCCCTGTAGAGCACCAAGACATGGCGTTACACGTTAAAGGAGAGGTTGTGACTCCAGGTTTGCCCTCTTGCACTCACATGATGAATAGCATGGTGCCCAGAGATAGCATGCAGATGGTGGACCCCTCCAGCTACAGGGTCCTGCCCAAACCCCAACCCAATAACTGCTGCACCACCTGCGTCCGAGACCCCAAGAGTACGCATCCTCCGCCTGACCAACATTTACACCCTCATTCCCACAGCCACACACCTCATGAGGTGCCTTCACGCAACCGGAGCCACACACATGAAAAAGGAGTAGATGAGGTGAGCGAGGACAGGGACAACGGGAGAAATAGCATGGGGAAAGCAGGAAGCGGCGGCGAGGAAATTAGCAGCTATTTTCAGGCTAGTGAGGTTGGCTACGAGGGAGGCGAGATGGAAGGGGTCGGGGACTTCGATGAGAACAGTGAGGGGATGTTCTGGGCAGAGCCTGTGGAAGGGGAGGCACCCCGTGGCCGTCGTATCGACCGGCTGGACATCAACATCCAGATCAATGAGTCGTACTGCGTGGACGTTGGCGAGGGCTTGAAGCGCTGGAAGTGCCGCATGTGTGAGAAGTCGTACACCTCGAAGTACAATCTGGTCACGCACATCCTGGGCCACAATGGCATCAAGCCACACGCGTGTCCACACTGCGGCAAACTCTTCAAGCAGCCCAGCCACCTACAGACTCACCTGCTGACGCACCAGGGCACGCGGCCACACAAGTGCACCGTGTGCAAGAAGGGCTTCACCCAGACCAGCCACCTGAAGCGGCACATGCTGCAGCACACCGATGTGAAGCCCTACAGTTGCCGTTTTTGTCGTCGTGGTTTTGCCTACCCCAGTGAACTCCGTGCTCACGAAGTAAAGCATGAAAGAGGCCGGTGCCACGTCTGCCCGCAGTGCGGCATGGAGTTTCCTACCTATGCCCACCTGAAGCGTCATCAGGTGAGCCACCAAGGACCTTCCACCTTCCAGTGTAGCCAGTGCAACAAGTCGTTTGCTTACCGCAGCCAGCTGCAGAATCACATGCTGAAGCACCAAACGCAGCGCTCCTTCTCCTGCAGTCAGTGTGGCCTCCAGTTTCTTCAACTGCATCAGCTACGCCAGCACTCTCTAACACACAAGACAAACAAGCCTCAGACCCGCGCTACCAAGGTACAGAGACTATTAGTGTGTTTTTGAACAGCTGTATCAGGGATGGAAATTAACTTTTTTGTCCACCTGCCACTGTGGCTGGCATTCCAAAATCTACCAGCCACTCAATGTTTTTACCAGCCACTTTCTTGTTTTTAACCGACAATGTGTAACTGCATGTGAAAATTAATACTACAAGATCTACAATACTTAAGCCGTTTATTCGTGCCTCCTCTAAAAGTGTCCGGGTGAAACAGTATGCTACTTTTATTTACCTGCCACGTTGGCTGGTAGGTGATGCGAGTTTACCAGCCACAACACAAAGCTAATTTCCATCCCTGCTGTATATCCTTGCTGCTGTTGTATTGGTGTCTTTATGCTCTGTTATGGTGTGGTCCCATACTACGTGAACAATAATTTTATGATTTTCAGTACTGTAAATCAGCCATAGTTTCAATTATTGGCTATAATGGGTCATTCCAACTGCTTTTCAATTTAGATCATAATCTAGTAGTAACGTAAAGGGATAGTGATAGATTACGGTATAAACTTAACTAACTTATCTAACTTTTTTCTTTTGAATGTTTTAAAAGGAATAATTATATATTATCTTTCATAATGTACATTATATACTGTACATCATATTACATTACATTAGAATTATGTCTGTAAAATTATGTCTCAGTACAAAAAATACCCATCGAATGTTTTAGTGACTTACCAACTATTTATCTGACAGTTTGCACTTGTATTTTTCTGCCTTTATTCTTTCTTTCTTCCTTGCCTTTCTTTTTTCCTCTTACCTTTATTACAACCTCTTACTTTACCCTAATGTGATTTTAACAATCTACTATTTTCTTTAACTCCTCCCATCTCTCTCTCTCTCCTCCCTCTGGTAAAGGCCTCTTTTCTCCTTTCTCATCCCTCCGTTTTCAATTCCCTCTCAATTTCACTCTGTCATTTTCCTTTGAACAATGTCCATTGTAGCACAATATCTATCTAGCCAGCTTTAGGTGTAAACACTGCAGTAGAGTAGTTCAGTTGATACCATAACAAATAGTTCATATGTATGCTGATTGTTTAGACTAATTATTCACTGCTGTCATAAAATTCTAAATGATTTAAAATGTACAATTTGCATCAAACCTTTAGCAATTTAGCACATTTTAGTTGTTGGTTGTGCTTTTTTCCCCATTAGGGAACAAAGGGGTTTAAGTGTGACGTATGTGCCCGAGAGTTTACATTGTCTGCAAACCTAAAGAGGCACATGTTAATCCACGCCAGCGTCCGGCCATTCCAGTGTCACGTGTGCTTCAAATCTTTCGTCCAAAAACAGACGCTCAAAACTCACATGATCGTACACCTGCCTGTGAAACCCTTTAAGTGCAAGGTAAGACTTAAAACGCTCTTCACACCATCTCTTTGACACTTTCACCATCTGGTTTGTAAAGCTTTTTTGATTCATTTTCCACAGGTGTGCGGAAAGTCATTTAACCGAATGTACAACCTCCTGGGCCACATGCACCTCCATGCAGGCAGTAAACCCTTCAAGTGTGCATGCTGTTCGAGTAAATTTAACCTGAAGGGAAATCTTAGCAGACACATGAAGGTCAAACATGGAATGGACGTCTCTCCAGATGGACAAGGTGAGAAGAATACAACAGTATTTGATCAACATCCTCTAACATGGCAGTTAAATGTTTCTAATATAAATTTCGTTTTGTTTTTTGATACAGATGGCCCACCAGACATGGAGCCCCATGAGGACTATGAGGATGAGAACTTCAATTTTACAGCACCAGAGAATATGGAAAACAATGATGCACCGAACCTAACTAAGCTATCTGAAGTGGCCATCCAGGAACTTGACTATTATAATTTTGGGAAGGATGTGGGAAACTACAGTACAGCATAAAAATGTTTTGAATTAAAGTCAAGCTGAATAAATGTTAAGGAACCAAAAGGCCTGTGCTGGCCCTTATCAACCATGAGTTGATTGAGATGTTCCTCCATGAGAACCAATGCTCATCTTTTTGGAGTTGCAAATGAGCAGGTAGTTGGAGGCAATCTTGACCTCCTGGTTGATAGCCACTCCGGTTCTGTCTCAAATGAAATGGACCGATAGTTTGCAAAGAGTCCTTTAACTCTTTTCAGCTCGAACAAACATCAACGCTGTATTTTTAGAATGAAGTGGATCACATGGTTACATTAATACCCGATACATTAGCTTTGTGACATGCAGGTGCATACATGTGCAGTCTTGTTTAAAGTAATACACGCCGTCCTCCAATTATAATTTTGGTTGGGAATATGGAAATAGGAGGTGCATGCAGCCTTGTGGCCTTCATCGGTGTGGTACCTCAGAGCAGTCTGTTGTATTAACTTGTTATTTTCATTTATATTGCCTTCACTTACAGTAACTCAAAGAAACGCACCAAGAGATTTCTAGTGTAAAGGAAAAAAAAAACATGCAAGGCCCCTGTAAATGGTTGGATATCTGCATGAGTAGATAGGCTTGTGTGGGTAGTAAAGCAAAAAAAAAAAAAGTGAGCGTGTGCCTGGGCCCTATGTACCAAAGCTACAGCTCTTCATCGGGTACAGGACCATATGCCGCCCATTCCTGAGCACCACTACTGTTGCCAGAATTAAACTAATCTGAAGTGTGGTTTAACAACCTCTTGAGTGGAAAATTACTGTTCTTTTGTATTGATTTGCTATTTATTTTGCACTTTGAAAAAAATCGAATCATTGACTGTTTGAGTTCTGGTCTAACTTAAGGAGATAAAGCCTGTCACATCCGTAGTAAATTGTTTCTCAAGGCAACTCTGCAGATTCTTAAATAAACCTGCTTTTTTTTTTAAGTTTATATGTTTTGGAGTGAGTGTGTTAATGGATAATGTGCTAAATTGACTTTTAGATTGGAATATAAACTCTTTGCATTTGAATTCAGGATGAACGTTCATAAAAAAATACAGGTACAAATTACAATCAGCTACTGAATCACATGGGATTATTTTTAAAGAAAAAATAAATGACTAAGATTAGATTATTCAAGTCTTTATATCCTCTTCTTTAATATTACATGTTAAATGTTATAAGAACGAAAACAATGTCTTTTATATAAAACAACAATACAAGCAAGTGCTATGGTGTGTGTAAAAAAAAAAAAGGGAACCATAAACTTTCTTTGCATTTGAATTCAGGATGAGCATGTTCATAAGAAAATACAGGTAAAGAAAAAAGATGACAGAGTATTCAAGTCTTTATATCCTCTTCTTTAATATTACATGTTAAATGTTATAAGAACGAAAACAAACAACATCTTATATAAAACAACAGTAAAAGCAAGTGCTATGTTGTGTGAAAAAAAAAAAGGAAGCAGAAAACCAAAACTATAAACTTTCTTTGCATTTGATTTCAAGATTAGCATGTTCATAAGAAAATACAGGTAAAGAAAAAATATGACAGATTATTAGTCTTTATATCCTCTTCTTTAATATTACATGTTTAATGTTACAAGAACGAAAACCAACAACGTATTTTATATAAAACAACAGTACAAGTAAGTGCTATGTTGTGCGTATTAAAAAAGAAGAAGAGGGAAGCAGAAAACCAACACAATCAATTCAATAAACAGGTAAATAAATGTATTTCTCCTAGTTGATGAAACAGTCGGTAAAGATGTGCAGTTTCCCACTTGAATTGCCTCCAAGTAGAGTGTTCCTGCTTGGGTGGAATGCTGTGATGGAGCACACTGTGGTCAGGTGGTCCATGTTGCGAAAAGTGTGAAGGACACGACCACTCTCGTGATATACCTGAATTTGGCGAGGCCTGTCCACGCTGCCAATCACGAAACATTCTTGCTGCTTGGGGTCCCATACTGCACTCAGTTTGGACAACCACCGACCTGTATGCATGTTGTGCCTACATAGAAATAATTTAACAGGCTGTTACAATGGGCACCTCTGATTGATAAAAAAAAAAAAAAAAAAAAAAAAAAAAAAGGTTAACTAAAATGGTTCCAACATAAAAAATTGCATAATCTAGACATCTAGTCAGAATAAAATATGAACACATCTATAAAAGATAAAATGCACACAAAATAATGTATTGTTGCTACTGTTAATAACTGCATTTTAGTTTTTGGCATGTAAATTTATGATTTTGGCACCCACTTTGTGTAGGGTCTCAAAGTGTTACATATGATGCTTAGCTTATTTTTGCAGCCCTTTTTACGCTATGCAATTTTGATTTATTTTAAAACCGGTCTGTATCATGATTTTTGTAAAAAGACTACTGTTCAAAAGTTTTGGATCAGTAAGATTTTAATGCTTTAACACGTCTCTTATCACAACAGTAATATTGTGAAATAGTATTACTTTAAAGATTTTCTAATTTTCCATTTTATTCTTATCCATGTTGACAAACCGCTTAATATTTTTGTGGAAAACATAAAATGAATGCATATTTTTCAGGATTCTTTGTTAAAATGTTTAAAAAGAACAGCATTTATGTAAAAATGTAAAAAATATGCAAGTAAAAGTAATGTAAAACAATGTAAAAGTTACTGACCCCAATATTTTGAACAGTGCTATTTAACAGATGATTTTACACATATGATAACACCCATACTTACATAATTGATTTTATTACAGGAGTATTGCAATCCATTTGGGAAGTGTTGAATACCCTAAAACAAAATTGTAAAAAGGTTAATAAAACATTTGTATTACATTTTGTAATGCATTTCCAATTCTTCAGGCTCCAGCAGACCCTACAAGAGGATAGGTGGCATTTACAATTCTTGGAAGACTATTTTATAGTAAATTGCTTTGTATAGTTTAGAAATATAGGTAGTAAGGGGGAAAGAAAAACACACACGCAAAAATTAATACAAAGCCTATTCAACCTATTCTGGCACATAGCCATGATGCTCTGGCACCCTCTATTGGTACATTTGCAAGAAGATTTAATACAAGCACTTCTAGCAGTGCCGCTTGAGATCTCTGAGCACCTGATCTCGTTGTCCATGCAGGTGGTCAGAACTCTGTTGCCTGTGTGTGGGGAGAAAAAGGCACTGGAGACGCTGCGACTGTGACCGTTGAGTTCACAGACTGCTAGACTGTTCCTTCGTTTTAGATGACGCAAGTCATATATGTTCACAAAACTAGAAGGAGAAAAAGACAAACATAACAAAAACATACTTTTGTCTGCCGTGTATGTAATTTACTTGGCAACTTGTGAAACATCACGTTGATCATTATTTGGTGAAAATTAACTGAAACAGTCTAGTTGAGAAGTGTTATGTGATACCTGCTCTCTGCCACTACAAAGTAATGCTGTTGCACAGGATGGACATGAACACAGCGTATAGGTTTTTCAGCCATGGTATGCAAAGATTCATATACCCTGCAATCACACATTTCCTTTATATAATTTACGATGTAAATACTTATTTGTATGGGGTATTTAGGTATAACATTTATGTTGACATTTCGATCTCACCCAGGAGTTCTACGGTCAACAACAGCAACATCTCCATTCCATTCACCGAATAGTAAAGTGGAGCAGTCCTTTGACAAAAAGTCAAAACTTTTCAGGCCAGAGGTTGAGCGATACACCTGGGTACAAAACAGTAGTTATCTTTAAAGTGTTGTAGGCTGTACATCTGTAAGATGGCACCAAGAAACAGGATCAAAAAACAGATATTGTATGGTAAGATGATTTACTAGGGATACACTAATGTGTGTAAAAAAAATCCAATATCTTCAAAAATACAAATTTCAATATTTTGTCACTTTTCTCTTTCTCATGCTTGTAGCCAATATGCAATATTTTTGTCATTTATACACTACCTTTTGGGGTCAGTAAGATTTTTAAAATATGTTTTAAAAGAAGTCTCTTATCCTCACCAAGGCTGCATTTATCCGATCATATTTACAGTAAAACAGTAATACTGTTAAATAATTTGAAATAGAAACCCTTTGTAACATTATAAATGTAATTCTATCAATTTAATGTGTCCTTGCTGAATAAAAATATAAATTTCTGTAAAAAAAACAAAATCTTACTGATGCAAACTTTTGAACAGTATGTGATGTGCAACAACATGCATTGAATCCTTCAAATAATCAATTACACACTGTGGTATATATACATGGACAAAGACTGTAGCTTGACTACACAAAAACCTACTATAGCAACTTGCTCAATGGTGCATCAAATATCACACAATAAATGCGTACGACTATAGGGTTGGGAATCGAAAATCGATTCCACTTCTGGAATCAGATACTTGTTATAAAATGAACACTTTTAATTCCTCTTATTGATTCATTTGTGTGCATTTTAATGTTATTTTAAACCATTCAAGCGCAAGAAAAATCTCACGCTGTTTTCTGTGCTGTGCACACATCCAAGGAGCGCACAGAAAGCCGCCTCTCATATAGTGCGCAAAAACTGAGTTCTTTCGCGTCTTCTTGCACTTGAACGGACAAATACACACAAAATGATGTCGTCGTAAACAGTCAGTTTTGTCTTAAGTGAAAGTAAACAGTTGAGAAAGAAAACACGTGTAACAGTAAATTGGATCCGTGCACTGAGTCTTAAAGTGACAGCAGCCCAACATTCCTGCTGCCGTCCGTGTAATTAACATTAATTAACACTCACCGATCTTGACTGAATAACTTTTCTATCTATATTTGTAATGTATATTCTATTTATAAAGCGCAGTTATTTTACATTTGATTACAGTTTCTGTACCTGAATACAACACCTACCTGAAAATCTGAAAACACTGTTTATTTTATTTGTATCGTTGTTCAGTTTTATTTATTTGTGCTTTTGCTAGTTTATTATTTATTTATATTAGTTAGGCTAGTTGGTTTTGCTGTGGTATTTTTGTTAAAACCATAGGCAAAGTGTTCTTAAGCCTATTGATTTTTGTTCATGGTATACAACTGCAATTCAATATTTTGCTAAAAGTTTTTTTTAATTTATTTTTTATTTACCTTATTGGAATCAAAGCTATGAATCGATAAGAATCGAAATCGATGAGCAGAATTGGAATGGCTTAAATTCAAACGATACGCAACCCTACATATGACCAGTGTAAACATTTCAAAGACTGGCTGTAATTTTCACCTCATCAAACACAGCCTTTTCCAGGTCCATGCTGCGTGCAGAGCCATCATAGCTGACTGTGATGAGGTTGCAAGGGTGAGATGAAAAGGCCATGCTGGTAATTGCACGAGAGTGGGGTTCAAAGCAGAGTACACCATCATCGCCCCATTTAGCATCCTAAGGGAAACACAGTTAACATTGAACCTTATGATAGGCATAGCAGAGAAAATCTTGGAATAGCCATTAGTCCCTTAATCACATTCCCACTATCCAACTTTCACAAACATCTCTCCTTTCCCACTATCCAACTTTCACAAACATCTCTCCTTTCCCACTATCCAACTTTCACAAACATCTCTCCTTTTTATCACCCCCAGTAAACTGTTATCTCACTGGCTTCCAGAGTCCCAGGTGGCCGAACTTGTCTCCTGCTGCCATGAGCAAGTTAGAAGCGGAGGGGTGAAAAGCTGCTGAACAGACCCGACCTTTCACAACTTTCACCACACAACCTTCATCAATGGATAATTTCTGCAGCACTTCTTGGTACCTGAAAAAAATATGATATTACATTAAAAAAAAGGTGATACATTCTCATCGCGTATATTTCTACTAATTACTAAAAGATTGACCTCATCTGAAACTGACAGAAGAGACACCAAAATGACATGCATAAATAAACACTCTCTTTTTGACATGTTACTCACGATTTCAAATCCAATGTTTCTGTATCTCGTTTTAATGGGACCTATAAAATATATAAATCATACAGATTTTGGGTTAATACGTGATGCACAAGTAATTGGAATATGACCAAATTCCGAATAATATAGGGGTGTTCTTGTGCATGTGTAAACACTGACCTCATTCCAGAGATTTATTAGATCTTCAGGTATCCTGACATATTCCTCCAGGTTGATTGGATCCAGTGGTATTGGTCCATGGGCTTTTTTAACTATTTTTTCCTGAAATAAGGTCACATTTGTTTAATTTCAGATCCAATCATTTCATACTTTTTTGTCAAAATTGTGTTAAAATTGAATATTAACACTTTAAGTTGTTACTTACAGGCTCTTTGGCTGTAGAAGGGGTCATTTCTAGAGTAACAGCTGTTTGAGGACCCTTATTCTGTAATCGCAGTGACTTGCGAACAGGGAACATCTCTGTTTCTGTCTTTTCCCTAAATTAAATCATTTCTTTAGTTAGTGAGACTGTGGAGTTTTTGACCTTTAAACATTAGGAGTACTTCAACTGAAAATTAATACAATTTTATATATATATATATATATATATATATAAAATACAATTATATTCAAATAAATATTATTTATTATATACTTTTTTTTTTTTGCCATTTTGAAAAGTTACTATTAATAGTTACTTTTTCAGGCCTTTCAGAGTAGGTTTTGGCTTGGGTCTCAGAGCTTCAGAAATCTGCAAACAAGTACCAATGTACTAATTAAGTAAGTCAAGGGCATAAAGTAAAGCAAGTTTTATGTTGAAAAACTTTCCTGCCTCACTACAAAGTTTTACCTGCGTCAACTTCAGGGAATTGAGGAAGGCCTGGTTCTGTCGGATATTCTCCAGTCGCTCCAGCTCATATTCAGACAAACCCTCACGATAACCCTGTTTGAGATGAGAGAAAAGGTGGATTTTGCCATTCAGATGGAAAGTGGACATTTTGGCTGTAGATGTGATCGTGTAGTGTTTGCACTTACTGGAAGAAATTCTGTGTCATTGTCTGCTTGTGTCTCTTGAACATTTTCTTCCTCCTCAATGTCATTTTTCTAAGATAATATGTAATAGTCAATATACATGTTCACAAACACAATTAGTGCTTTAATGTTCCATAAGGGACGTCTCTTTACCTTTCTCTTGACTCCCTTTCTGGTGTTTTTCACCTTAGACCTAAATGTTAGACATTTTGGGGATAAAATTTGTTTCTTTTCTTGTTTTTTTCTCTCTCTGATTCGGCGGGAAGTCCGGCGTACTGGTTCGTCCATTCCAGGGTTCTGAGACGGTGTCCTCTCCTAAAAATTATAAGTTTTACGTTAAAAAAAAAATAATCCTGTCTTAACGACCAGCATGTGTCTGCGCCCTGTGTCATACAGGGGACGCTATAATCACTGCATTGGACTACAGGAGTTTCTCAACGAAAACAATATAAACACTGTCTACAACACTGACTGACCGCATCGGTTTTATTCTTCCTTTACAGTACTTAACTTTATTTTCTTCCAAATATAATAGGCTTCGCTGTTGTTCAGTGCCTCGTAACGTAAGCAATAAATAATCGAAATAACGGTTAAACCGGTTTCAATATTCTCATCTCGTCGTCAGGAGAAACAAGATGCATTGCAGTTCTATCTTGCGATAATTTACCGTGTCGTAACTATTTCTCTATCATAGCGGGCCTAAAGTTAAAAAGTGTAACTCGGGTTTGCTTCGGCCATACGTGTGAATCAAACGTCAATTACGCATTCGAGCTACACGAACAGTGCACTAAATAAACGGTCTCTACTCTCTATAATGTATGCAGATAATGGCAAGATACTTATGACATACAGACTAGTTAAGCACGTGCTTTAAGTCTGGAAGTGAGAAACGGGACCGCACCTCACCTGTAAACGTTGCATCGTCTTTAAACTTATTTCACTTTTATCTGCATCCATGTCTATGCAGGTGAAGTTATTCAACACACTTCCTTTGAATCACGCTGCTGTTATGAAAACTCCCGCGTTACTTACTGACCGGTTTTGTAACTGCCCCCGCCCCTTTTGTTATGGCACTAAAATAGTGAAAGTTGATTTGATCATCTCTGAAGATCATCTTGATATTCATAATCTGGGTGGTGTTTTAATGTGCCCTCGTGACGTTTCATGTTTGGGTACTTATTTAACTCTGCTCACTTCTATAATATAACCCCTATGAATATAACCGATGCACGTGATGTGCAGTAAACGAGCACGGCATAATAGAAAAATGAAAGAGTTACGCTTAAGCTTTTATTGATTTAATTAAATCTATATTTAATATATTTAATAATTTAATAATTCAATTAAATTTTTAATTTAAACCTATTTTTAGACTATGTTAAGAATTATTTTTTATTATTTTATTCTTGCTTTACATTCTATGAGTTAAATCACTTCTAACGTGTTTATTAACCTTTGTGTTTTTTTTTGTGTGTGTTTTTTTGTAGCCTATAGGCTACTGCGGTGTAGCCTACCGACATTTGAGAGGCTTGTGAAGAGAACAAAGCGGGCCCAAATTGAAATAAATTTCTGGCCCTGCAAATAAGCCTACTTAGATACTGAATACTTGAATGACTTTTATTTTTAAAAAAAATAAAGAATAAAAAAATGCTAATTCAAATTATCTAAAACCTAAAAATGTAATTGTAATTTTTTATCAAACCCAGACAAACTGCTGTTTCACTGGCTGTTCCGGAATTTGGAACAGCATAATAACACAGGTAGCCTACTATTCTTAATATTTCAGCCATGTAAAGGTATTGGCTGCATCCAATAGTTGTTACTTATACTTGTTTTGATCAAGTAGGCCACTTAAAAAAGTACGCTCTATAGTATGAATGTATGTAGTATGAATGATATCCAGACATAGCCTACTAAATTTCGCCGTGTTGTCGTTATTATGTGGCCTGCAGCATCAGTTGCATCCTCTATTATGGCCTCATGGGATAGTAAAGTGTCCAATCCATCGTGTGCAATGGTACTTGTATTGTAACTGGGTACTTTTTGCATACTTTTTTATGATTACTGTGAATTCAGACATACCTCTTTTATTAAATGCTGTTATTCGCCTACTAGGGAAGTATGCAATTTCGGACACAGCTCTAAAATTTTGGAGCCGTATAGCCTACTACTCTTACTACTTTAACAATATCTTTCTATGACATAAATGGTAGAAGTAGTAAGCTAGTATGCAGTTCCGAATTCACCAAGTCAAGTAGAAATAGTAGTAGGCTATGCTAGTATACTTTATACTAGTACTACCTTATGCTGCTTCAGTTAGGATAAGCTAGTACCAGGGAGGTGTCTCTCTCTAGTGGCTGAGAAGTGCAATTGTACAAACGCATAAAGCAGCATGGTCATACTATAGGTCTACTACTAGATAACTAGAGCTAGTGCATACTAAGCTCTTCTCTGCCCATTATTTGAAGGGATAGGAAAGGCAGAAAATAATCATATCAACATTTTTTTTTGTGTAAACCTCAAAAATATTTACAGTAGTCCTTGTGTGGCTTTTAATTTAAATGGGATATTTAGTGTAAATGTATGTTTCAATTTATTCAGTATGATTGTAAAATAGTAATTAATAAAGCCCATTTAAGTATAGCTTCAGTGTGCCAAGCTGATTTGTATCTTTTTATATAAGTAGCTTCACTGTAGCCTATAGCTGCTTTAAATTATGAATATTTTATGATTATTTTTTCCAAACATTGATGACAAAACTATGACCAAATTTGTGTTGCTTTAAATTATGTTTGTCTGGATGTGAAAGTGTGAAGTTGATAATCGTATTTCTCAGATGTAACCATATTTCAATACTATTAATACTTGAATTAAGTCCAAGGCAAACCCCCCCCCCCCTGTATTTTGCTCATACAGGGTTAATTCATGCTCAGGGTTATTTTTTTCACAACTTCTCATGTTTCAGCTCAAAGGAAAAATTTAACAAAGGAGTCGGTCTGACTTTGCTCTTTCATATGAGACTGTTGTATGAGCCAGAATATAGTCACCTGAAAATAAGGCAAGGAATTATGTTCTTTACATTTTAACACTTTAACATTTGTGAGTGTGATGATGGATATATATGCTATAGCTGTTCTTAATGTAAGTTGTTGAAAAACATATAATAACCACTTCCATTTTTAAGAATGAAAATAAAATGACATTTAAAATGACATTATTTACAATTATATACAATTATTTCTATATGTATTTTAAATAAAACTTAATATTGCAGTAATGCATACATTAATCATAATATGTATGTTCAATAACATTACAACAAGCAGTCAGTAAAATTTCAAACATCTGTTAAATTAAGACATTGGCAGATTTAAAAAAAAAAAAAAACTTCTTGAATAGTATTAAAAGCCATATAATACTTAGTTATGTTGTCCTTCATTTAGATTTTAGACAATTAAAAGGAAATTGTGCAATATTCCTTATTTAACATCCCAAATGTAGCCTATATTCAAAAAAATGAACTATAATGTAAACAATAGCTTAAGAATTAAACTTGTTTTAATGATTTTTTAATGAGTGATGAACAGGAGATGACTAATAGTAATGCTGGGAATGTGTGTTCTGTAATCCTGCTGCGTTGCTGAAGATGTTTTAGCATATATCCTATTATCCACATGAATGATCCTGGTGTGTGATTTGGACGGAACTCCAGGATCAGATAAAGGACGACTGAAGCTTGTTTGCTTTGCATGCGACTTTCACACCATCCAGAGGAACTCAACTAGATAATTGTCCACAAAGCCCACAGAGTCACTGGCTCTCTTTCCCTGACACAGGCATGCTAAGACATCACTAACCATCACTCGCAAAACAACCAGTCAGGCGGAACGACTGCTCATCTCTCGGCAGTAAAGTTGTCTTAAATTTGCCAATAAAATCAATGTACTTGGGAATTGCATTTGATTTATTAGACTTTTTAAAATGTAAAATATTTATTATAGCTCTTCAAAAATTCTGTGTTTAGTTATGTAACAGTATATAGTTATATACAGTATAATTATTGGGAGTATAACTGGGAATTATATAAACTACATCATCTACACCCTTTATGGGGCATCGTCATTTATAAATGAGGCAAAAAAAAAGCATTTAAAATACAATAATAATAATTTCCACTAATTCAACCAAAATAATTGACATTTTAGTATTATCATATGAGATCCCATTCAGCCAATAAAATTTAAATCTAAAGATGCTTGACATTTTTGGCAACAAGGAAGTGAAGGGGACATTAGCACATGTTAGGTCATGAAAATATATGTAATTTCCTTTATAAATATTTATTTATTTAACTGATAAGTACCCTGCTTAATACTTGTTTATCTGTATTTATCAATGCCATTGTAGATGTGTATTTTGTTTTTGTTCTTGGTGTTGAACATTTTGAAAAAGAAAAGTTAGGTCACATGATGTCAAGGCTCCATTGTGAGTTTATTTTAGGCTAAAATACATATAAATTAAAACATTTTAAAACATCATTATACATCCAAATGTGTTTTATAAAGTTTTTAGTCATTTTTAATGAACATTTGTCAAATCAATAACTCAAAGATCAAATGCATAAATGACAAAGTCCTTTTAGGGGATACTTTCTGTGTAGCTGCACTATTGTACAGTACTGCACAAATATAATGGTATAATGGTATTTTGCCTGTGTTTTAGGTTGATGTTAATACGTTTTATAGAAGACAGAGAGGAAAAGCTGTACCTTTCCCAGAAAGTATTGATGATAGTGACAGCAGTGCATCAGAAAATAAGGTCGTATTATAAGAAAGGAAGAAGTTGAAGATCAAGGAGAATAGAAGCAGCGAGGGTGATGGCAGCGATGAAGAATAAGCCATAGATTGTTGTGGAAGTCAGGCATTTTGTAACATTATCCTATGACAGTTTGGAAGATGTGATCAAGACTACAACCAGAGGTCAGGAAAGAGGCCACTGCCTATTGGTCTCACACTGACAAACAAATGATGACTAAACAGAATCGAGTTACGTGTGGGAAGCATGGGCTACACTGAAAAAGAAGTGTCATGTTGATTTTCACTTGTGCTGTAATCATTGATTTGGAATTCCAAGTATAAAACAATGTTAAAGAATTGTTTTATGTTTTTTGAAACATTAAGTCTAAGACATGGTTTCACTACTTTCCCTGGCAGCGAAGTTGCATCTGAATTTGTGTCAAGTTTTTGACATTTTCAAATGTAAGTTCCAAATGAAAGCTGCACACAGTAAAATGGAATGATAATAAAGCTTTTTAATGTTTTTTTTTTAAACTCTAAGACTTTTTCACTACTTTTCAGAAGTAAAAATGCATTTAAATGTGTGTTTCAGGCAAGAATAATTTACCCTAATAGGACAAAGTCAGTGATAAATGACAGCACCCTAAAAAAGGTCAAAGGACAGATGTTAAAAAAAGTAATTATGGAAAATGATTGTATCCTTAAATATATGTAAAATATAAAGTCATTTTTTTTTCTAGCTGTGATTTCAGATTTAGTCCCACAATGGGTTAATTTGGACATTTATGAACATTTATTAACTGTGAAGTTTAAGTCCATTTTAGTGTTAAGAATAAACCAATGCACCATGTTCTTTCAGTGAAGCATTTGTTGAGTCATTGAGAGATGAGCTTGATTTAATTTGTTGGACAGCTGTCTGATGTGCGTTTGAATGCATGTGTATGTGTGCATTTGTGCGTGTCTGTGTCCCCTTCAGCCTATTTTGTACCAGACATAAGCGTTATTCCATTTGTCTGACATCCATTACACATGATTGCAAGTGATAAGTTCTTAGTCGCATTGAAGGATGGTTAAGCTTTTTACTTGTTTTAACTCGTCTTAGGCCGAAGCCGTGTGAGTTTGTATTCCCTGGAATGTTACAAACCTGCATTCTCACACCACCTTGAGGTACATGCGTACAATGACAACACACACACACACACACCCTTATAAATCATGCGGTGTGTCTGTGCGTGGGGAAATTTAATGTGATGTTGACTGCTCGGAGCAAATAGTGCATGTTACTGCATGCACCTGTTACAGGGACAGTCCACACCAAAAAGAAGAAGAAAAAAAGGAAAATGCTGTCATAATTTTACATTTTCTAAAATGTATCAAAAATATGTGTTTTTTGGGACTATACAATGAATGTCAATGTTGTTTAAAAAAAAAAAAACAGTTAAAAATGTATTTTGTATTCAGCAGGTTTATGACTGAAATTACATTTTTGGGTGAACTATGCATTTAAGGGGCTTACCCAGATTAAAAAACAACTGTTCTATGAATGTTTTACTAACGTTCCCATTAAGTTAGGAAAACGTTTTTCTTGGTTATGTGAGCGTTAGAACGTTATTTTATCATTTTGCAAGTATAGTGGGAACGTTACTTCTGAATGTTCTCTAAAGCATCTGAACAAAAAACATTAGACTAACATCCAACTAAAATGTTTCAGAAAAATGTTTCATGAATGATCTATAAATACAATTTTTGTGATAATGTTTTAATAACGTTATTAAAGACCAAAAAACTTTGAATGTACGTTCTATTAATGTCACTGGATGACTGGAAGAACATTTGTTCATAACTTTGAACAAGAACCTTGCCAGAATGTTACCCAAAGTTACTGAGAATGTCTCCTATTAGCTGGTTATATGAGTGAGTGTGCATGTGAGATTCAGTGCAGTCCTTGATTCAACTCCAAAACTCAGCAAAAGCTTTTCCTTCTTTAATTTGTTCTCCTCCTTGGTTTTCCAAACCAACTCAACATTCTACAGTCTTCTTATTTCTCTATCTCTTATCGAGCATTAAGTGACAAGTGATGCTGAGTGATTTTGGCAGGCAAAAGCCCATAAAAACAACAGCAGGAAGTGTTCTGTCTCTTGTCTGAAGAGGGTGTGCCGCAGCCAGAGAAGCAGAAGAAGAGGAGATGGGCAGAGGTATGTGAAGACTGGAATGTTCATTTCAGTCACACCTGGGATAAAACACACCTATTGGACCTGGTCTTTCCCTTTTCATTGGCTGATTTGATCATGACTGACAGCGCAACCAACAAATAAACACTCTTTTGGCTGCTGAAGGGGTTTGACCTATGATCCCCAATTGTGAACCAATAGCATGTGGTTGACTTGCAGATAGGTGGGGTGGAGAGGAAATAAAACTCATCTGTGGGGTGTGTCCACAGTGGCATACGTACAAACTGTGAGGCTGTACAACACCGTGCAGATCTCCTGCCTCAAAACTACGGTTTGTGGAAGACAGACTTAGACTTATCCTGGTGGAAAGCTGCCGAGAGCCCTGGAAAAATCACAGATGTCCTCCCTAAACTGGTAATCTCAGCTGCAGCTACCTATATGGGGAGACATTTCATGAAGACTCATTTGCTTTTCTTTTGGCTGAAAGAAAAATGCTGGACAGAGCAGGTGGGAACTTGTGCCGGAGATTTGTATGGAAACAGTTGGAGTTCTCAGTGGGACTGTTGAGTATATGTTCAAATGGTCGCTCACATCTCCTTATCACTTTTCCAGCCCAGCTAAAGATGGTGAATCTGTTGGACGGAGAACTGATAAGGGCATGTGGCTGACACATACAGCTTTGTGTCTGCTGGGCGCTCAGGTCAGCGTGCGTTGGTGATATGTGCACATTTGTGAATGTCAATGACTGAATAACCAATATTTATAAATTTATTTAACTTTTTTTTTTTTAACCATACTAAAACTCAAATGTAGGTTTATGTACAGTATGTATGTATGTCTCAGTTTAAACTCGGGCTGCACATAAGTTGGTGATGTTGTTTTTTTAGTCTCTTTTTTATTCAGCTTTACCAAACCGGACACTTCTAAATCACATTCATTTCTATAATAAGTAGTTAGCAGTAGATTAGATTCATTGACTTTGCAAATTGGTAGAGTATGTGTTACTTTTATTAATACAGACATTTTGATGACAATAATGCTCACGGCCTAATGAAAACAATACCAAAGATAAACTTTGTTTATGTAAGGGGAAAATAATTTAAACATTCCAATTTAATTCCAAATGCAACTCATGTACTTCTACAAACTTTACTGTATAAAATACTCTTAACCTTTCATTTACAATTTATTTAATGTCTTTATTTCATCATTCAAGAATAGGCTTTGTGAAAATGTTAACCTACATTCATGTTATGCATACAATTTTATTGTGATACATGGTATCAAATGACACAAGCATGGCAATGAAATTTGAATATGAAAGGTAGATCTCACACATTTTTTCATGCTTAAATTTACATTTAATATTGCAGTTTATCTTATTGCATAGGCATCACCAACATGACAACTTTCCTACATTCTTAGTCAAACAGGCTCTCCGTTCTTTATATAAAGTAAGCAGATTAAATAGACTGAAAATTTGGAATGTAAAATTTAGGTAGGAAAAGGCGACACACTGTTTTTTTTAAATGAAGAGAGTGATTTTCATTGGGCAAGGTGTTGTCTCAAGCCAGGCCGACCATGGAAGCACTGAGATCCCACAGTCTGCGGGCTGCAGCATCATCCCTACCCTGAGGAGACGCCTCTTTGGGTGCACAATCACTGCAAAATGACCAAAAGAGAGCAATGAACAAAAGCATGAAATGATCATTATTTAACGACAATGCTCAGACAACAATGTGCATAAAAGCTTTAAAACTGTATGGAAAAAAAGTTAGTTGTTTTCCATTTTGACCTTATTAAAATGATGAAGACATCCATTGTAAAACTTGTTCGTGTATCAAGTTTGTCAACTTCTTCCTAAAATTGCCTGTCTATGATATCTTGGGAGAGGTGACACACATGCAACCATGTTTTGCGTTGTAAAGCTAACTTTAGAAAGGTTGTTTACACCTCCATGCATGCCTTGATGAGCATAATCATACTAAATTGCAGTTAACACATGTGACAGAAAAAGCTACTGACCTGTAGTAAAGGCCACTGGTATTCTGCAGACTCTCATCCACCGCACAATAGATGGTGGTCTGTGAACCCTGCCAAGGTGTTTTGACAAAGAAAACAAAGGGCAAAAACATAAGCCTCTTCCACAGAGGCAGAGCGGGTAAAAAGTGTCGGCCGAGTTCAGTACGGATCACCCCAGGATGTAGAGAGTAAGTTGTCACTCCTGTGCCTGAATGACATACAGGGAAAGTGTTTGAAAGCAGCATGATTGAGAGTGTGATACTGTGATGTTTTAATTCAATAAGAATGAGAAAGTTTTCTTTATAGCTTACCTTTCAACCTGACAGCTAGTTCACGGGTAAACAGAACATTGGCCAGCTTGCTCTGTTGATAGCTTATGGATGGATTATAGTCTTTCTCCAGGTTTATATCATCAAAATAAATCTTGCCTATCCAACAGAAAATAATTTGAAATTGAATGAGTTACATGCCTGGGAATCAAACAATTTAATGTGTCAAAGAAACACTTTAAATGTATTTACATTGTAATACATTCAAATGAAATATGTTGGAAAATAATACCATCAATGCACACTGCCCTACAATGGTAAAATTACATTTTGTCAAAACTGTCACAACAAATCTTGTCAGGGATTTCAAGGAGTTCAATTATGGCTTACAATAATTTAAAGAATTATGATAAAATGATAATGATAAAAATGTGCAAGCTTTTTTTTAGGCATAATTCAGCTAAGCACATAAATACATAGATGGGATTCCACACCTTTCTCATGGGCCAAGCTAGAAACATTGACAACACGGCTGGGTGTTGATTTCTTCAACAAGTCCAGAAGTAAGTTGGTAAGCAGGAAATGGCCCAGGTGGTTCACCCCAAACTGCATCTCAAAGCCATCTTCTGTCTGCCACTGTGGGCACATCATTATCCCTGTTGGCAGAAAAAAAGAAATCAAATTAAATTTAAATGAATGAATAAGTAAATACATACAACACAGGTTTAACCTTGCAAAGCAAACCTTGTAATCTGTTGCCAAAAATAAAACACTTTGTTACTATATCAACCATGTGCTTATGCATTATAATCTGTCTGACATTCCTTACCAGCGTTATTAATGAGAATATCCAATCTCTCCTCATTCTGCTGTACATCTTTGGCCAGAGCTCGGACAGACTGCAAGGAGGCCAGATCCAGCATCTTCACAACCACGTTGCCATTTCCGCTCCTCTTCCTGATCTCATCTGCTGCTTTGCTGGCTCTGCCCATGTCTCTGCAAGCCAGAATCACCCTTGCACCTGAACAATGGAGGTTCATAAACAGTAATTGTTGTGACAATGCAATATTTTCTGCAACCATCCAGCCTTCAACAAATACACCAGTACTACAAAGCTATTATGCACTATCTTGCTGACCGCACAGACCACAAAGTTTCTAACTTTGAAGGGGTTTCGTTTGCCTCAGAATAACAAACTGGGCCATGTTAGTGTGGTTTCATAAGTGATGGGTTGCTTAATTAAACCAGTTTTATCTCCCCCTGTGAATTTATCATCCTTTTCAAACCCATCGGATATACCATTGAGGGTACTGAATATCAATCAGTATACATATCAATCAAATGAATAAGATAGAGCCTCCAACAATCATCTAACCAGCCTGTTTGTGAAATTCAGGGACAGTGTTCCATCTGTTATGAGGGTCATTGATGTGATGCTCATTTTGTGTCTGGATTCAAAATGTTATTCAAAAATACATTAAACATTCAATTCAGACCAACAAATTGAATTGAATACACCTCTACTATGATAAACATGCAATCAATTAAATTTTTCTGGAGCCTAAAAGTAAAAAATGTCAAGGTGGTGTAACTGTCCAGAGATTGTAAAAGTAAAAATAACCTGTTTTTTGTTTTAAACTATAATATTTGTTTAGAAGTTTGTCCTCTAAATCAAGGTCAGTTTTTTGCCAAGTCACTAAAAACACAAAACAGAGTGGACCTCTTTAGACTCTCATTACCAGTGCTTGACATTAACTTTTTTGCACACCAGCCACTGTGGTTAGTGGTTTTTCAGATTTACTAGCCACTCACTGCATTTTTACTGGCCACAATTTTGACATCGATACCATAGGGGAAAAACTGCCATATATATATTTGTAATATTATCTCATAATTTTGCAGCCGGTATATTAGGCTGCTGTCACTTTAAGACCTGACGCACGGACCCATTATACTGTTTTATATAGCCAATATACTTGTCTTTACGTGCACGCACTTTGGTAGTGAGCACAAAATCTGCGGGAATGAGTAAAATTATATTCAATACGTGCAATCCCTCTCCGAAATTCAAGCCCTGTAACACAACAATATTCATCCAGAGCAAATGAAAATGAAAAGGGTTTGTGTTTCAACTCGCTGTCGGAGAGATTATAGAGCTAGAACGCGCAGCTGGTATTGTGTATCTTGCAGAAGAGTTTCAGATATTTTAGTGATATGTATCGAAAAATCAATACTTTTGACAACACTTCATTGCACTTAGTTTATTTCAGATGCCTTTTTAAAGCTACAATATGTAACTTTTTCGCCTCAAGGGGTCGCTAACCTCTTAAAATAACAAAGGCGTAGATTGATGACGCAGTAAATGAGCGTGGAATCATGGAACTTGTCGTCATGCTGATGGATCTAACATTAATAATGTTTAAGGGGAAATAATGTTTATGAGTGAATACATTCATGCTTTTTAACATGACTGTGGTATGAAGTAGGGGTGGGAGAAAAAAAATCGATCCATCGATGCATCGCGATTCTCTCTCCAACGATTCTGGATCGATTCTGAGAATTCCAGAATCGATTCTGAGCTTAGTTTTTAACCAGATGTGCGATGGCGTTGAGTTTGCTTTAGAAACACCCGTATTCTGCTTGCTTCCAATTCCTCACACACATACACCACTCGAACCTTCCGTAAAATAATCTTTCATAAAGTTCGGAAAGGTTGAAGCGAGTTACAAGTACATTCACAGGCTTCATTGCACAGGATACGCTGTGAGAGACGCGCGCTCTCTTTGATGTTACACTTGAAGTGTGCTGTCTCGCCCGTCGGTATTTTCCTTACAAATGCTCTACGAAGTCATAATTTATGTGGTTTGGAATGCAGTGGACTTATATATTTAAAATATGAACCTCACTAACAGAAGGCTGCTTTCAATTTCTAATGCTGACGCGCGCTTTGTTTGTGAGACTGCTCGCGCATGCGGCTGTGCGACTCCGTGTAGTGGTTTAATGTAGCCTACTTGTGCAAAATGAACGTAAACACAGCCAGTTATGTCTTAAGGGATTAAACGGACAGGACACACCGCATTACTTCTTTTATTTCAAAAGAGATGCGTGCGTGAATGCAGCTTAATAGATCTCCCGCAGTGACAGTCTATGATGTCATAGTAAAAAACAACAGTAAAGATGAAGAAAAATCACTCACAGTTCTTGAATGGAAAACGTTCAGATAATCTATAGGCTACTGGAAGCACTTTTTGTTTGTTGTTTGTTATATTTTTCTATGCTCCTCTTTATTATTTGTTATATTAGTTATATTAGTTTAAAATTCTTAACATACAACTGTTTTAACAAAAACAAATTAATTTGTAATTATTTTTTAAAAAGTACTTAATTACTTATGTAAACTAATGAATTCCCAGAATCGGAATCGGATCGGATCGTGAGGTGAGCAAAGATTCCCATCCCTAGTATGAAGCAGGTCGCGACTGCTAATGAGAGACATCAGATATCAGCGTCACACATGAGTCCCGCGGATATAAAGGAATGAGGACATTTCATTCTACCGAACTACCCACAAGTGCTGAATTACTACTCAAACTGGTCAGTTTATTTGACGAATTAAACGTGAGGTAACGCAGAGCTGCTTCACTTGGTCTAACGTTACACTATCATACTAAACTGCATTTGAGTGAGTTGAAAGTTATAATGTTATTCTATGTGTTAGTTTGTTGGCTGTATGAGAATAGCAGTAAGCTAGATCAACATTAGAATAACATACTGATCATATTATAACATTTCATCATGTTGAGCTATATAACATTGATTCGTTTTATGTACATTTGCTCACCTGTCTAATAAAGTGCATGCAAGAGCGGCGTCTCTGTCAAGTCGTACAGCTCTGTCAAGTCGAAGTTTGTCGCGGACGCGGAGCTCTTGGCATCTCGAAAACGCCACACTGATATTGATCCTCATTTTATTTCTCCTTTTGTCCCAAAGTCTGCTTGCCATGGTCCATAATGTTTGAACAAAACAACAACAGCGTGCAGCTATACATTATGCAGTTGTCCACGTCTGTCGCCATGGTTACTATGGCAGTACAAGCGGAAACGAGGGATAACGCAGATATTGCGTCATTGACATGCGACAGGTGACAAGGGACGGGCACCATTTAAAATAGTGAATTTCTCTGAATTTACTAATTCTTGGAAACATTTAGGATAATTTAAGTACACAATTGAAAGAAATATATAACACTGTGCAAGTGGTTTTTGGATATTTTGATACAAAATTCTTACATATTGTACCTTAAAAAGACTACAACTGAAAAATGTATATTATAAAATTCAACCCGCCAAAGTGACTGCATTACACGCCACCACTGAAATCCATCCGCATTTGGCGGGTGTTAATGTCAAGCCCTGCTCATTACTGTGTTTTATGGTTGTCAGTAAAGGTGCAGTAAGCGATTTCTGAAAAATGCTGTTGATATTTGAAATCACCAAAACAAACACGCCCTTACCCAAAAGGATCGCACACCTACCTTTATGGCTCCGCCTCCAAAATTGACAAACAGGCTATGCAACACAGGCACCTTCCCCTAATGAGAACGCCCTTACTGCTGATTGGCTACAAGTGTGTTGTGGTGCTCCGTCTGATCCACTTTCAACAGTGTTTCTCAGAAATCGCTTACTGCACCTTTAAGTTTTCAGTTTTTTACATATTTTGGGCTTTTTCTTTCTTTCTTTAAAAAAATAATAAAAAATTCAGATGGGGTAACCCTACAAAGCGTTTTAAACTTGATTTAATTGATTTAAATTGATTTTACTTGATTTTCTGTTATAATTTTGATCATCCTTACTGACATAATAACAAAAAGACTTGCTACATAGACTTATCATGATGGCAGTTCAACTAATACTTTGAAATACTTTAACTCCATTAAAATTATCTGACCTCTCTTGGCCATGTCCACCGCAGTCTCTTTCCCGATCCCAGTGTTGGCTCCCGTAATCAGAACAGTTTTGCCGTCCAAGGGCGCTCTGCTGAGGCAGACTCCACCACCCAGCCATCTCCGCAGGGCAAAGAGACCGACACCTACCGGTACAGCAACATCATTACCTCACCTCTAACCTTTTCACTCTCTTTTTTGTTTAGCACAAGTGGTGTTTTTTTTTTACAGGTGGTACATATATCACAAATGAACACTTAAGAAAACAGAATAAGAAACTCAAGGTAGACCAAGGCAATAAATCACAGTTTCAAGCAAGATACAGTAAACAGAGATAGTCTACTAAAAAACAATTCACAAAAAATATAAAGCAACTGAAATTAAACACAATAAATGAATAAATATAAATAAATAACATGTAACTTAAAAAAAAATCATCTTTAGGAAATCAGGAGGTAACCCTTATGATGAAGAAACCATAATTGTTTTAATTAACAGAGCAGTTTTAGCAGCTTTCTTGTTAAATGACGAACAAGGGAGTCATATAATAACTTTAAATCAACACAGAATAGACTAAATTGGGGTTAGAATCAGTGACTACATTTATGGAGACCTCACCTCTAACCTACTCTCAAAACGTCGGTACCTTTGATAAGCCCAGGCAAAGGTTATCCGATACACATGCAAGAGGCTCATAGAGATATCAATAAGATATATAAAATAAGATATATCTTATGTATCATTATTTCTCATTATATTAAATATAACAGTGTTCCCACATCTTTCAATCAATAAAATCCCATTCTTTTACCTGGTCCTTTTTACAAAAAACCACCGTTCGTGATTGCTGGAATAAAAAAAATAAAAAAACAACAACAAAACATTTGACATTGCACGCACTAAAAGCACTTTCTGCGCCGAGTAACTGCAAAATGATATAACTGTTACACACTTTCATGAAATCCATTTATGAAATCCATTTTCCACGAGAGTAAATGTCAGTTTTAAAAGTGCCTCATATTGACGTGTTTTTGGTTGCCGTGGGAACCCTGATTTTTCTTGGAAGCCATTATTTTATCGAACAAGTAAGAAACATGCAAACTATGGTTTAACTTTTGCCTACCCGTAACCAGGACAGCTGTGACACCTGTAGGGTGTCCTTCCACAAACTCCTTCGCTGCCTTTGTGTATTCCTGCATTATTACACCTGGTAGAGATTCACCTTCAACTACTCGAGCTCCTTCAGCATCGAAAGTGTCTGCAGACAGACAGAGAGGTCAGTAACCGCCCACACACTACACACAGGAAAAGAGAACTTTGGAGTAAACACAGTGGACCCACGTGCTCCAGCCTCAAATTTCAAAATAAGAGTCCGTTGGTTGTAAAATGCAGCTTTGGCATACACAGGAACAACAATCATCAATAGTGTCATAATACATTTGAAATAATTATTAGTGCTGGCTTACAGTCTGATTTAAGCGAAAAAAAAAATACACTTAAATTGACAGGGGTGCCCCTACCTTATCAGATAGACTGGTGCAAAAGAGTCAACCTAATCAAAGTAAATATTCCCCCCTTTTCCTCACACAGGAAACATGAAAATACCTTATTACAAATAAATAATATTTGCAGGTCCTTGGCATAAAATGTTTGAAAACCCCTGCTTTAGTAAATGCTGAGAAATTTGTCGAGAAAACATTGTGCCATTGTCATTGTAATTGTTAGAATAGTGTTTGGGTGTGTATTTGATACTTTCTATTCAGGCGAGGACATGAAACATGGAGGAGCACATATTTGTGTACATAACCTTGTGCTACCGCTCCAGCCTATTTTATTTCTTCCTAGCCAATGAAAAAATAACAATGATTAGAAAGGTCAACATTTTGAAGGCTGTGTTGAAAATCAAATATTTGGAAATTGCTTCTTTTATATTATAGCCTATAATTATGTATTTCCTACCCCACTTCCTGAGTCTACACTCCATAGAGCTATCAGAGCATGAAAACTTTTAACTATATAGTGTACACCAGCTAGTTTATGTACTGGAAACAGCTTTGCTTTGTCCAAGTAATAGGATATTATAAAACCATGAGGTAATAAGAATGATATTATTGCCTTCTTTACTGCCACCTACTGGTAACTGTATATAGAACAGGTCAGTCAGGAACTTAGAATTGAAAATAAGAAAATAAAAATCATCTGAAATGATCTAAATTAATTAAATAATCGCACCTTTATTTATTTTGAAAAATAAAACGCCAAATAACCCGGAAGTATCCCGTCCTCCTGCCACGTCAGTGGTGTGTCGCTTCAAGCTGTCAAGTAGCAGAGTGAGTTCAGCAAACCAGCTATAACTCAATGGAGGAGGCTTTCTGTGCATTGTAAAGAATAATAATTTAAGTTTTCTTCCACCATGAGACACCCTTGTCTTTTAATTTTGGCTGTGTACATAGCCTTTATAAATGCCACCGAATTAACGTTTGAATTGCCCGATAACGAGAAACAATGCTTTTACGAAGACCTAGAGCAAGGAGTCAAGTTTGATATAGACTTTCAGGTAATTGACTCTTTTTGTGTTTTGCAATGTTGATTGATTATTTATCTTTTGCTAGTCCACGTTTGTTGATTATTTACCTTTTCTTTGGAGCACAATAACCGTGATTTTGCTGCTGCAGATGTTATTATTCAACACTGTTAAACATTGTTAAACAACTGAAGATAGCCTACGATGTATTCCATATTCCAGTATTAATTCTCTCCTTTTCATACAGGTAATTGCTGGAGGAAACTATGATGTTGACTGTTTTGTGACAGATCCAGTGAATAACATGCTGTATCAGGAACGAAAAAAGCAATATGACAGCTTTTCCCATACAACAACCATGAAGGGAGTGTACAAGGTCTGCTTCAGCAACGAGTTCTCGACCTTCTCTCACAAAACTGTATACCTGGACTTCCGAACTGGAGAGGATGCCAGATTATTGCCTGACATGAACGGAGCGACAGCTCTCACACAGGTGAGAAACACAAATGCCATGCACTCACATACAGCATGCACTCTGCATATATCCATTTGATATGAACCTCTGAATAAATCATGCAGATGGAGTCGGCCTGCTTGTCTATCCATGAGATCCTGAAAGTGGTTTCAGACTCTCAGACCTGGTATCGTCTTCGAGAGGCTCAGGACCGACTCAGGGCTGAAGATCTGAATGAGCGTGTGCACATTTGGTCCATTGGGGAGGCCATCATCCTGTTTGTGGTCTGTATTGGCCAGGTGCTTATGCTTAAGAGTTTCTTCAATGACAAGAAAGCCAGTGTTGCCACCAGCACATAGGCCTAGATCTAGATCTCTAGTTTGCTGTCTTCTCTCCTTGAAGATAATCTGCTGATTTATTAGTCTGATCCCCTTAAAACAAGAAGTCTTGACTGTTGCCTACATCTAATAAAAAATAACCTTGATGTCAAACAAAATGCCTTAATTACAGAGTCATGTACTAAAAGCTGCACAGAGTCTATTATCTTGTGTTGTATATTTAAATTGGCCTCTATGTGCATTGATCACTGTTGCAGTAATGGTAATTAACCTGCTGCACCTTTATAATGCCACATCTTACTGTTTTTGGTTTGTACCAGTGTTGTTTGTTTTGTTAAAATTGTACTTTATCCACTTGAAGTGTGCCTTTGTCAACTTTAAATGCATATGTCTTAACATACCTTTATAGAAAACAAAGAATAGTTTTGGTAGTTTTTGTATGGTAACTATAACGAAATGATAATGAATGATTATGTTGTTGAGGTAAACCTCTATTTTTCTATTTAGCAAAGCCCTTCTTTGTTTATCCCACATGCAAAAGGGAAAATCCATGCAGGTGATTTATATGTATAGATATAGATATATCTGGCAAACTATAAAAAATATAAATTTTCCTTTCATCTCTTAAAGGGGTCATGAATTGAGAAATCAAATTTTATTTGATCTTTTGACATGTTAGAGGTCATTGTACTATAAAAAAATACTGCAGGTTTCAGAACTCAAATCTTCCTCGTTAGTCCAAAAACAGCTTTTATTGAAACCCTGCTCCGAAAACGCCTACTTCTACATCATCGTATCTTTGGCCCTGCCCACCGGCGCATTACTGAGACGAGAATAGAGATACAGAATCACTGGACTAAAAACAACATTACCTTGCTAAGGATCTAGGAAAGTTGTTATTTATTTTCAACTAGGCTATGTTAATGTCTTTTATTTGTTTGGTACATTTCACTGTGGATTCTTTGGTAAATCAGTTGCAATTTCGGCACAGGCTTTGCAAACAGCTTTTCACCCGACAGTAATGCCACAACATGTAAGTAGCCGTGTTAATTCAAATGCCTGATCTGGGATCAGTGATTTCTAATATGATTACAGTACAGTTTGACATTCTTTGTCTCAAAATCGTTTATTGCTGTTAATGTGTCAGAGTTCTGGACTCTCACCAAAACTCCCATTTATCAATGACGCTATCTACACGGCGTAATGAATCTCTTATTAACATTGTGTTTGGACTGTTATGATAAAAGCATTCGTGAGAGTGCAGAAATCGAGTTACAATGACGAGATCACTGCATTCGTGTCTGTCATCGGTTACAATGCTCATCGCTGCAACAATTCATGCGGCAGGTGTAGATCTAAATCTAATACAATAATCAATATTTTTCATGGTTATTTAACCTCGACAGCAGTAATAGTAAAAACCTATTATAAGTTTTTAAAAGAGTTGCACATGCAATACTTGTTTCATGTGCAAAGATGCTAGCCAGTCACAGCAGTGGACGTTTACACCGGAGTCTCATAGACACGACACATCCTCAGTTCAAAGCAGAGGGCTATAATCAGGGTAGAAAATGTCCTTTCATTTATAAATTGACCATTTTTGATGTAAAAATCATACTTGCACTATAAGTGCACATCAGGAAACATAAAATAATTATAAATTCAGTTCATGTCCCCTTTAATTATAAATTCTGTCAAGTGCAAACTGCATGCACACAATTGTTGGTTTAAGGGCTTATATCATGTCTGTCACATATTTATGACTCTAACTGAAACATCAACTTATTGTGCAATTCAAAAGCTATTTTATTATTTCATATTCCTCAAATATTTGTTACAAACGTAGCCTATCTCTTTTTTTATTTACCTCAGCCCTGGAAGACGAATTGATTTGTGATTGCATTGATTTATTATGTCATTATTACCTTAAATCGAGTTGTTTATATTCCTGCCTTATGTAAATTGAAAAATTAAAAGCAAAGTTTGGGATTGATTTTATGATTCGTCTTAATGGTATATAATCACGGACATAGCAAGAAGATTTTGAAACATCTCAGAGGAAATAAAAAATATATTTCTTGATGTGAATACATATTTGGCAAGACCATCTTAACTGTTGATATAATAGATGTAAACAATAATGTAAAATACATTTTGTTGGGCAGAAACTTATAGTTATTATAGTGTTCTTTCTCAGATTTTTAATAGTCAAGTGTAAATGATCCTCCAGAGTCCATATGACAAATCTATTTTCATCTACACAGTTATGAACATTGACTCTCACTGGCTTTCAGTTTATGAATACATTTCGCCTCAGCCCTCCCTTGAAATAATGCATGAATATGGATGGGCTGTTGTGCCTGAGTCTATTCAGTGCATTGGAATACCTCCAACGTTGGCATAGAACCACCAACGGCAGAGGAGACCACACCGACCAGTCCGAAGGATAATGATGGGGAGCAATGACTCAAAAGGGCTTCTGATCACCGAGAAGGGTCTGTCTGGCATGTCTGCAGTGAGTGACATGTTGCGCTTGTCCTAAACGCTCGTGCGTCTGTACTGACTGGCCAATATGTTGAGCCGACTGATGAGTGGCAGCGATCGGACTCTTGACAGGGAATTCAACTGTACAGTGCGACTGCTGGACGACTCGGAATACACTTGCACGGTTCAGGTCAGTATTAACATGTTTTCATCATCACAAGCGGGTTATCCCCATCACCGACACACGTGCTTTAATGTTCGCGCTGATGATGCTGCGCATTCAAGCGGGAAAATCCGCGAGCATCTGTACGAATCTGTACACTGCACAAGGGCTGCAATGCGTAATGGCTAATTAACGTGTTAGGAAATTTCCTTGATGAATGAATCAGCGCTGGTTTCAGTGTCCCGTCAGTATCCTTTAGAGAGCAGCGGGTCACCTGTCACGTAGTGCCCTGCCGCCAGCCCGAGAGACCTGAGTCACATTCAGTGGGAAGAGGCACTAGTGGAAAGGTTTCATACATTTAATTGCCTCTCGGGGCGAACTATCCACGATAACAGCTGCTGAAAGATTGTTGTAGCATACGTGCAACACTGTAATGGTGATTCACTAGCTGTTCCTGTTCTTCTTGTTTGGCCAAACATACTACAAGCCACATTACCAATCAGCTATGTTTCTTGACAAATTCCCAGACTGTTTCAATAGGCTATACTGTCTTCTTGATGCATTTGTTTCCACTACTTGTGTAAGGCAGCCCAAAAGCATGAATGGAGATTAATTGATTTAAGTTAATTGATTAGAATGTGCCATTAATGTCATTTATTGGGTTGTATTGCATCATTGTATAATTAAAAGCAAAGTTTGGGATTGTTATAATGAGTCATCTTAATATCATAGCAAAATCATTGGCTGAGATGCTAAGTTGCCAAGAAGAGCAGTGGTTTTGTGTGTGTCTGTATATATACACTCACCTAAAGGATTATTAGGAACACCATACTAATACTGTGTTTGACCCCCTTTCGCCTTCAGAACTGCCTTAATTCTACGTGGCATTGATTCAACAGGGTGCTGAAAGCATTCTTTAGAAATGTTGGCCCATATTGATAGGATAGCATCTTGCAGTTGATGGAGATTTGTGGGATGCACATCCAGGGCACGAAGCTCCCGTTCCACCACATCCCAAAGATGCTCTATTGGGTTGAGATCTGGTGACTGTGGGGGCCATTTTAGTACAGTGAACTCATTGTCATGTTCAAGAAACCAATTAGAAATGATTCGAGCTTTGTGACATGGTGCATTATCCTGCTGGAAGTAGCCATCAGAAGATGGGTACATGGTGGCCATAAAGGGATGGACATGGTCAGAAACAATGCTCAGGTAGGCCGTGGCATTTAAACGATGCCCAATTGGCACTAAGGGGCCTAAAGTGTGCCAAGAAAACATCCCCCACACCATTACACCACCACCACCAGCCTGCACAGTGGTAACAAGGCATGATGGATCCATGTTCTCATTCTGTTTACGCCAAATTCTGACTCTACCATCTGAATGTCTCAACAGAAATCGAGACTCATCAGACCAGGCAACATTTTTCCAGTCTTCAACTGTCCAATTTTGGTGAGCTCTTGCAAACTGTAGCCTCTTTTTCCTATTTGTAGTGGAGATGAGTGGTACCCGGTGGGGTCTTCTGCTGTTGTAGCCCATCCGCCTCAAGGTTGTGCGTGTTGTGGCTTCACAAATGCTTTGCTGCATACCTCGGTTGTAACGAGTGGTTATTTCAGTCAAAGTTGCTCTTCTATCAGCTTGAATCAGTCGGCCCATTCTCCTCTGACCTCTAGCATCAACAAGGCATTTTCGCCCACAGGACTGCCGCATACTGGATGTTTTTCCCTTTTCACACCATTCTTTGTAAACGCTAGAAATGGTTGTGCGTGAAAATCCCAGTAACTGAGCAGATTGTGAAATATTCAGACCGGCCTGCCTGGCACCAACAACCATGCCACGCTCAAAATTGCTTAAATCACCTTTCTTTCCCATTCTGACATTCAGTTTGGAGTTCAGGAGATTGTCTTGACCAGGACCACACCCCTAAATGCATTGAAGCAACTGCCATGTGATTGGTTGATTAGATCATTGCATTAATGAGAAATTGAACAGGTGTTCCTAATAATCCTTTAGGTGAGTGTATATATATATATAGGCTATATATATATATATATATATAGGCTATATATATATATTGTCCTTGAAAAGTTAGAGAATGAAAATACCAGGTGGAATGAAAGTAATATGTTTTTATTAATGAGTTTTCTCCTGGGCTGAACTATTCACAGATGTTCAGAATCAACAACAGTTGCTGAAAGATTGCATTAGCTATAATATGCCTAATACTTTGCAGCTGCTCTCACTCTAAAAAAACACTGGGTTAAAAACAGCCCACTTTGGGTTGTTTTCAACCCAAGGGCTGGGTAAATATAGGACATGACACATGTTGGGTTAATTTTACCCAGCACATTGACTTATTTAACCCAGCATAATGGGTTGATTAATTTTTACTATAATACTAGCTTCTTATTTACGATCATATTTTACAGTATAGCATATTTTATATCGTTTTTAATACATATTGCCTACATTTAAGCTCATTTAACAAATATTAGAAGTAAAAATAAAAACATTTAGAAGTAATTCAAGTGTAATTGACCAGTGTCTCTTCTCGTGCCGGGTCTCTTTCAACTATCAATTATTGATTAGCCTATACTAATACGAACAATATTAATTTTACAATATATATAGGGTTATAAACCCTATAAAAAACAACAAATTGAACATTTCTTTCACTTGATAAACTGTTAATTAGTTTAATTAATAATAAAACCTAGTGAATGATTGAACATCATTACATTCTTTTTATAACTGAAATATATTTGGACATTTAACACTTCATTTAACATGTAATTACCTTAAAGATGATTGTAAATATAGGACAAGTGAAAATGCGTGTATAAAGCTATCAGGCTAATTCGGGTATCTGTATGCTATGCTAAGCTAACTAATACAGACATTAATGGTCATTATAGTTCAAACAGCATTTATCATAACATGATTTTGTAGGAATTGTAATCAGGCGCTAAAGAAAGTACCTATCACCACCTGTGTGGTGATGAGATGAGTCCCAGCACCGTAGAGATGAGTCCCACCTTAGGACCTCAGTATGCCTGATCTAAAGCTGTTCTTATCTTGCGATAACTTCTTAGCTAACGTGAGCTGTTTTAGCTTTATGTAGCATGCCAAATCCCGCTGCTATGTAGGCCTACAGCTAAATCCCGCTGCTATGTACAAGATGCGATAAAAGGAGTTTGTAAAAACATTTTAAGCAGGTAGTCTAGCAGTTTTCTGCCATCAAGTGATATATTTATAGCACTTTTCACAGTACAGCTTTACAGAAAGACAGACAGCTATTGTATAGTAATTGAATTGTATAATGTAAGCTAACTAAAAAAACACTAAGAAGAACGAGAAATGTTTATTTTTACAATCTATAGCTTCGGTTATATATAGTATATGAAACATATAAATTAAAAGACGTGAATGTTCGTTATTACGTAGTTCAAACGTCTTATAATAAAGTGATTTTGTCTGATTTGTAACCAGGCACTAAAGCGATTACCCATAAAACGAGCTTTGAACCAATCAGATTGCTTGGGTCCTAAGGTAAGAAGGTAGGTAGGTAGGTAGGTTGGTAGGTAGGTAGGTAGGTAGGTAGGGAGGGAGGTGGGGGCGGGGGGCAACTTCTAACTTCAGACCGCTGCCCTGCATTTCACTCGTAGTCGTAGCCGAAATATGCAGTGAATGGCCCCATAACCTTGTCCATAAACAAACAGTGAACAGAGAACATATTTTAACAAAGTATTATTCTGTATCTTTTTGAATAAAATCATATACTTTTATACAAGGAAATCACATCAAAAGACCGACGCGAGTCACATGACACTCGTGTAGGTGACTCACATCGTGCCCCTGTATGTTGCTTTGCATAAAAAATTAAACAATATACAGCACACTAACAAATTTATAGATAAAATAAAATGTACACAAACCTTCACCAATTTGACGGAGCTGCACTGCTCTCTCCTGAAGAGGTCGCAACACAAATAAAAAAACAAATAACTCGACCCCTGGGTTGTTATGTCTGACCCAGGATCTGGGTAACACAAAAACTCCCCAAACACTGGGTTGTTACATTTGACCCAATATCCGGGTAACACAAAAACTACCCAAACACAGAAAAAATAACCCAGGGTTTGGGGAGAAAAAATATCCCAAGATTTTTTTAGAGCTGGCTATAAAAGTAAAGATCTATCAAATGTGACAATCAATTTGGATATCTTGAAGTTCTTTTTGACAAAGAGGTCAACACAATTGACATGCATTTTGGGCTAATGCTTAAAACATTAAGTTACCTATATATATATATATATATATATATATATATATATATATATATATATATATATATATATATATATATGTATATATATGCTCATGTGTCTGAAAACTCATTTTGGTGGGACAGTTTACCATGACTCAACTCCACGTGCACAAGTTACTGAAGGATTATGTTCAGAGCTCAGTTGAGGCAGAATTCTTAAACACTGGAACAAATTCTTTTTCCAAGAAAATAAGTTTATGGATTTTAAATAGTAAGTGTTCTGTGTATAAGTTATATATTTGACAACATGAAACATGGAATAGTGAATTTGGTGGTGGTCATCATTCATGGTATTAGTTGTGTGAGGTCATGTTTGTGGTATGTCTGGGAATATCAGCGTCAGATTGTGACATTCCATTGTCCTTGGAATTCTGTGTGATGCTGTGGTCTCCATGGCAACAGGCCGATTCCATCATCGGTTCCCAGCTGCTCCTGCTCTCATCAGACAGGATATAAGCACACGTGTGCAAATGCACAAACCCGTCTGTTACACAGGATTCATTCAAACATGGCGGCTAGACATTGCAAACAGAGACAATCCTCTCCTGTCCTTTCCGCCCCTGTCCCACTTGGGATCGTCCTCTGTAATTGATTGATCAGGACAGTGGAGTTTGGTTAGAAATGCTTATTAGTGAAATATGGCCTCCCTCTTTTGAGAGACTGCTGACTGCGTTTGGCTCCTGGCAGTCACACATCAAGA